GTCTACATGAAGTCCCAAAGCAATCACCAGCCTGCAAGATCATCCTGTGGATTCGAGATGCCCAGCTGAGGATTATATGAAAGCAATACTTTTTGGATGCAGCATCAAGAACAAAATGTATAATCCTAGTGTAGAGGCTTAATGTAAGATGCGAGGATTTGTTTAATGGGTAAGGAGATTAGGAACAAGATTTACACACAGCCAAAAGAGAATATTAAAATCATTCCGAGACCCCTATTATTAAACACTAGTTAGGGCGGCACAGTTCACAAAAGATTAAATAAGAAACATAACATGGTGTCCAAAGATCTTCGGAGGAGAATCCTCTGTGAAGGAGACAGCTGTTTCTCTAGAAATTGCTTTTGAATAGCCCATGTAACTTTCCCTTCTTCCCCTCTTTCCAGCAGTCTTTCTCATGATTTTCCCAGTTCTGCTCTAGGCAGTTCCCAATTCTCTGTAGCAGATTTGTGAGTCATGGGAAAAGATGCAGGAGGTAACCCAGCATACCCTCCAAGATTTCTCAGATTAAAACTGGGACATATATGTACACGTAACATCAGCCGTGTAAGCCGAGGGGCAAAAGCTATTAATAAAGAATACACAACCTAAGAAAGGCTGCCGCAGTTGGCTTGTGTCTGAGCCTCCAGGGAAGTGTAAGATTCCCTGCACTTCTTTCCTCTCACTCCTACTGAGTTAATTGAGTGCAAGCTGCTTTTTCATTTTGGGTCCAGTTTGCAGCAATGGATGTAAGCTGAGGACAAAAGGGAAAGTGGAAGGAGGGGAGAGAAACGGGCATTTTAAAAGCAGCTGAAAAAGTGGGATGACAGAGGATTAATTGAGACTCTCCCAGCCAAACTGAGAAAGTTGAAGGGTATGGAAGCAGGGACTGGCAAAGTGTAACCCATGGGGCAAATGAAGTCTTTTTTGTGCTCTGCCCCAACCCATGCTCCCTACCCCCCCCCCTTTTTTTTTTTTTGCAAGAAATTGGTCAGAAAACTCTAGGAGGAGCAGCCATTTGGGGAAATTTTTAGGATCCCTGGGCTTGATTTAACTTAAGGGGAGAAGGCTTTGGGTTTTTTGAGGGATGGATGGGTTCCTGGTAATTTTGACCTTGTAAAAAGACACTCTGGTTTTATTTGGTTTTATTTAATTGATTATTCATTTTAAAAGAGTCTGGCTATTATTACTATTTTTCAACCCTCTTACTGTAATGTCAACTGTTTGAATTAAAACATTTCCCTCCCTGGGACAGAGATTAGAAGTGGAGGAGGAAATCCTAGGTGTATCTATACTAGAGAAATAATGCATTTTAACACCACTGTAACTGTCATGGCTCTATCCTACAGAATTCTGGGGTTTGTAGTTTTGTGAGGCACCAGCATTCTTTAAAACTACAAATCCCAGGATCCCATAGGATGGAGCTAGAGCACTTAAAGTGGTGTCCAACTGCATTATTTAAGCAGTGGAGATGCACCCCAAATCAGTTGAATTTCATATAGCTGTTAAAGGCAAAAAAACCCTGCCAGAAAAAAAAGTAGCAACCTTATCCGGTGAATTATATATGCCCTGGTGTGATTGCCAAGATATGCAGAGCATTTTTTAGAATTTCAGATTATTTCCCAACAATGACAGCAATTTAAGAGACATTAAAGACTTTCAGGTAGCATGTGAAAATATCATAACATTTTGTGCCACATCACAGGCAGCAGAGCAGCCCAGGAAGGCTTTGCCTTATTAATTACCCTCTACCAGTCATGCTCCAATTTGTCAATATTCTTCTTAAAATGTAGTGTTCTCTTTCTGGCAACTTCTGTTTCACTTCCACCATCAAAAAGTGTCAAAATGTCACAAAATTACTCCCAAGAGTGTTGGAGCACTTAGGAAAAAATCCCTCCCAATACATAATTTTGGAGAGATATTGTGAGGCCCTAGAACTCGCAGGGGTAAGGTTGCCCTTTAAGGGCCGAGGGACTTCAGTTCCCAGAATCCCAGGAGCTATTGACCAACATGGGACTATTGGCCAACATGGCTGAGGCTTCTGGGAGCTGAAGTCCCTCGGCCCTTAAAGGGGAAAGGTTGCCTACCCCTGAGACTCATATATGGCCTTAGGGGCTACACAAGGCCACAAGCCTCACTTTCTCCACTTGTGCCTTATCCTATAAGAGACTTTGACCCTACTGGAGAACAGGTGAAGTAGTGCCATGTGTCAAGTAAGCCAGCCTTTCTCAACCTTGGAAGGTATACACTGAGAAAAGTAGAACCAGGCCCACCTATTATAACATCATCCACCCACACACCCACCTATAACCATCATGATCCTTTCCTAGGGAAGAGCCCAGAGTATTGTTTTGGAGCACTCCAAGAATTGTCTACTGGGGACCCCTAGTGTCCTGTTGGTAGACATACAAGGTTTACAAGGTTCCCAGAAGAAAGCCACAGAGACCTATCTCCAAGTCATCCTGTCATTGGCAGCCCTGCTCAGGTCTTGCAAACCCAGGTTATAAGACTTTCTTGATGGAGTATATCCATCTGTAATCCAGTCCTCTTTTCCTACTGCCTTCTATCTTACCAAGCATTATTGTCTTTTCTAATGAGTCACGTCTTCGCATGATATGCCCAAAGTACGACAGTTTCAGTTTCGCCATCTTGGCGAAATTCAGGTTTGATTTGCTCCAGGACTCATTTATATCTCTTTTTGGCAGTCCAGTGTATCCAAATTTCCTCATGACCACATTTTAAATGAAATCTCTTCCTATTAGTTTTCTTCACTGTCAGGCTTTCACAACCATACATAGAAAGTGGAAATACAATAGCATAGACCAGGGGTAGGCAATCTAAGGCCCGGGGGCCGGATGCACCCCCCCGAGGCCTTTGGACCGGCCCCTACCGCCGCCATCGCCGCCACCGCCCCCTGCCATGATGATATTGATTATTGTTGT